AAGGATCTTATAAGGTGCCTGTGAACGAATAATCTAGTTGTTGAAAGCTCACATGCTTAAGGAAACAAATCCAGTTACATGACTCCGGAAGATGTACCACCAAGATCCACCACCTCATCATACAAACATGTAGCAAAGCAAGGAGAGAGAGGCATTCTGCACCAAACAAGAATTTTAAGAAAACTTTACATCTTTTGTCTTGAAGCCTTTCAAAGGAAATTTATATCTAATATTCTTAGGATTTATGTTTTAAAGAAATCTTTTAGATTAGACATGGATAAAATAGCACCTAAAATTGCATATAAACCTTTGTTTACAGACAGTAGCTTCTAACTTTAGTATTCATTGTAGCAAACTTAATTTTTAAAAAAAGATTTATTTATTTTTATTGGAAAGTCAGATATACAGAGAGGAGGAGAGACAGAGAGGAAGATCCTCTGTCTAATGATTCACTCCCCAAGTGAGCACAATGGCTGGTGCTGTGCTGGTCTGGAACCAGGAGCCAGGAACTTCTTCCAGGTCTCCCACATGGGTACAGGGTCGCAAGGCTTTGGGCCATCCTCAACTGGTTTCCTAGGCTACAAGCAGGGAGCTGGTTAGGAAGCAGGGCCATCAGGATTAGACCCAGCGCACTTGTGGGATCCAAGCGCATGCAATGCAAGGTGATGGCTTTAACCACTATACTATTGCGCTGGGCCCAGCAAACTTAAATTCTTAATTTTAAGAACATATATTCTTGAACACTTAATTTTTTAGATTGGGAATCATCAATTTTACGGCTACAACAGTCGTTATCACACCAGTGTATGGAGCCCAGATTTTCTCTGTGCTGTACGGAAGTAAAAACAATCAAGTCCACCAACTTTTGCACTGCCATGAATTCAACAAACAGGGCTTGTTGTATTTTCCAGAATTTATTTCTTATAAAACTAGAGAGGCAAACAGGCACCATATGTTCACTGGTTCAATTCCCAGTTGTTTCACTTCTGATCCGGCCCTTTGCTACTAGCCTGAGAAAAGCAGTGGAAGCCAGAAGTGCTTGGGTTCCTGACACTCACATGAGAGATGTGGTGGAAGCTCCTGGCTCCTGGATTTAGCCTGATCCAGCTCCAGCCATTGTGGTCACTTGAGGAGTGAACCAGAGGATGGAAGATCTCTATTCTCATCCCAGTGCAGTTCTTTAGAAGCAGTTTTATAAATACACCAGATTCATACATTCACAGCTTGGATGTGTAACTTAACCCAACACCTGTGTCTACTCTGCGACTCACTAGCTGTACCTGTCTCCAAAGATGAGCCACCCGACTGCTCAACCAGCTGATTCCCCAAGTTCAGACTCAAAGTTCTTGGAGGCTGTTGGCTCTATTCTCTGTTTTTCAGAAAAATGCCAGCCTTCTGGCCTCCTATAAAATCATGAACTAAGCCCTGTGGTTGTCTGTACCTTTAGTAGTTTAAACTCATGAGAAAAGCGCTTAATGCATCACCAAAACCCTCAGCCAGAAACTGACAAGAGTCAAAAGGAAAAGAATGAAACTAAGATTAGACATAGGAGAACACCACAAATAATTTTAAGTGCTTGAGCAATTTGCTTTCAATCAATCTGAGCTTTTAGGGGGGAAGTTTTTAATCATAAATACAACAGTAATATTCCTTAGGAGATAATAACAAAAGAAGTGGTTTCAAACATTCATTGGATGCTTCCAAAATACTGCATCTGATTATAGTGTTATGTAAAATTACTTTCTCAATCCTCACAGTAACACACGAGCAGACGCGCTTCCTGTTTTATCTCACAGATGAGGAGGAAGTTCTGACTCTGACGTCTGAATAACTTGCCTAAGGTCATGTGAGTAGGAGTTATCAGGACCTGGAATGGGAGCTAGATATGGAGTCTGAGGTTCAGCTAGGACACACAGCTGCCTCTTGGCCCCTGCACTAGGAGACAGCTGCAAGCCATAGGAGTGGCTTCACTTCTAGACACGCGATATTAGAGAAAACATCTTTCTCAAAATAAGGTTCTGTTGTAAGAGAGATCAGGGTTTTCTAAGAAAAGGAGTTACATATGTGCAAAGAACAATAAAGACTAGTATCACTGATGAATATTATCACTACAATATCAATAACTGCCGGCAACGCCCATGTGGCCATATACCCCGAGCCCAGCCGAGGAACTAGGGTTGGAAGGAAGACAGCACACACTGGGTCATTCGTGTAAGGACAATGCTGGTTTATTAAGAAAATGCTGCTGTTTTTATACTATCTTCTAGTGCTCTATCCTTGTTTACCCCCACTCTTGGGGGCTTATCTATTTCTTCATATGGCTTTGCTCAGCTTTTCCCAGACACACTATCAGGAAGCTGTGGTTAGGGGGGACGGCCCAAGATATACACTCTCAACTCCTGAAGGTTTGTGCAAGTAGCTGAGAACACAGTCCTCGGATAAGTCAAGCATCCTTGTGACCAGCATGCAGGTGAGACGGTGGAATTTCCCCATGGTAAGGGTTAGGATATGTCGGCAGCAGCATCTCCCCCTTTTTGGTTTAAACAATTGCCTGTCTTAGGTTGTTGGTGGTCGACTCACGCCTTACCCATCATGAGGAATCCTATCCTGGGCTCATAGGATCTTTGTCTTAGGTTGGTCGGCTTCGCCACTGATCTTACCCATCATTGGTCAAATGCTTATAGGGGGCGAACACTTGTATTTAGATGACAGGAGTTTCCACCACTACGGTTATAGATATTTAACCAATGGTAGTAGGCTTCCGGGCCTGCTGCCCATGCATGTGGTGGAGCATGGTCACAAAAAGGGCACATATACTCAAACTCACACACTACAGCCATCTCACCACCAGCAGTCTGTGTAGGGTTAGATTGGCAACTGCATTTTAATGAGAGTCGATTAGGTTCACCTCTACGTCAATTGTGGGGCGGAAAAGCACTCAGGCAATTTACTACTTGGCTCTCTAGCAAAGCAAAAATAATAAAAACAAGCAAAATACGGATAACAACAATAAAAAATGGGCTAACAATAAAAATAAAAAATAAGAATAACAGCAATAAAAAATGGGCTGAACAATCTCAGAGAAGGGTTAGCCTGTTTTGGCGATCTCTTCAAGGGCAGCATGGACCCAGGCATCGGGTGGGTGATGGTCGGCAGCCAAAGCTTCAACTACTTCAACCAACATAGTCAAGGCGCTGAATCGCTGTTGAATAAGCTGAACAATTTTATTAAAACCACAGGGATCAATGGTAAGCAAAAATAATAGAATGACTAGAGGGCCAGTAAGGGTAGAAGGCAAGGTGGTGAGCCATGGAGAGGAGTTCAACCAAGACTCAAACTAGCCTTGATTCTGATTCTGTTCTCTACTTCTTTTTGCTAGGCTTTCTCTAACCTTAGCCATAGAATCTTTATTCCTGAGCTATCGGTATAGAAGCAACACTCTTTTCCAAGTGCAGCGCAGAGCCCGCCTTGCTGGAGGAAGAGAAGATCAAGGCCTCTCCTATTTTGGAGAACGACCTCCGATAAGGATGTTAAGGATTCTTGTAAATAACTGATGGACTGTTCTATTCTTTGGATATCCAAATCAATAGCAGTCTGTAAGGTTTGTAACGTCTCACTTTGTTGAACTAAGGTGGAGATGCCCGTACCTGCTCCTGCGAGGCTTAAGCCCATTAGGGCAGCCAAAGTGACAGCAGTTACCGGTTCTTAACAATGGATCAGGAAAACCTAAGGGGTGTATTTCTTCCCAAGAAACAATTTTTGGGAGCAATATAATCAGAACGCAAAAATCACTGCTATTATATAAAACTCTTCCATGGGCACAAGCAGTTAACCCAATTTGCCAGGCCCACCAGGTGCCATTCGGGGGGACCAAATACTCATAGGTTGAGGTGTTGGTTATAGTCTGATTGCATAGAGGCCGGTACCGAGCAGGGACAGTGCCAATACAAAGTCCTTGCCCAGCCACCGAGGGGATAGTGAGTCTTGCCATGCCTAATTGTTGCCAGCGGCATTGGTTATGCATTGACTAGTTGGACATGTTACCTACAACGGCAAGGCCCTCATAAAAGGAGGGCCGAGCACTAAGACATAGCCAACAAGGATGAGTAAAATTGAACCCAGATATATTTAGGGCTCCCCACGTAGCCTGCATGAGGGCCCAAAGAGAGTCTGAGCTGTATAAATCTCTGTCCGTTAATTTTGGGGAGTGGATGGGGAAATAAATGTCACATTAGCAGGGGTAGTTGAGCTGGACTCTAAAGAAATATTTCGGCCACATTCTATTTTAGGAGCAGGGGGCCTGGACCCAAAGGAATCTGATAGCAAAACTTTATTTGGACCTACTTGCAGCGAAAGACGTGAAACAAGCAACTGAAGGGAGAAAATGACACCCGCATCTTATCCTGACCTGTACAATCTTAGCCCCCATGTTCTTGCTAACTGCCAGGTATCATGTTTTTTGCCCTGTTGTGTGAAACTGATCTTCAATAGATTACACCTGCCTCCAGGAGTGCTCTTGGGAACCGTTTGGCTAGGAATATTAGAATGATCACATGCCCCGCATGTTTGCAAACTGCCCGGGGAGCCACACCATCCTAGACCAAAGTCAGTGGGTGCTCGCTGGACCTGAATGAGATTCTTTTATTGGAGGAAACCAAGACAAGCCCCAACCAGTATTTTCACACCCCCAATTTTTGCAATAGAAGTGTTCAGCTCCCCCACATTGACTAAATTTATTTCTATTTTTAGCTCCTCCTGGGCAGACATAAAAGGGGAGTTTTGTCATAGCGAACCTCTTGCCAGCATAGCAACATCCATAACCTGGAAAAGGCTCTTGCACACTGGGCTAACATGGTCTGTAAGGTCGCACAGATCTACATAAAGATCCGGCCACCAGGTGCCTAGAGGAGCTAATTTGGAGGTGATATTGACAAAACTGTTTGTGGGAGCATTAATAATCACCAGGTCATGTTATGGGGGAGATGTGGGGTAGACATTACCACCAGGGGGAGTGTGAGCAGTCCCGCGATCTTCATGATCTTCTGTGTGTAAAAATGACGTTGGGGAGCTGGACACCCACTGCAAGCAGTTCCTTCCATCAGCAGGGCTAAGATCTGTAAAACATAAAGGCCTGGGACCCAAGGGTCCTTGATTTTCCTAATGGAAATACCAAATACAATCTTTCTGTAACAGGGGAATTCCTGTTATTAATGGGGTTCACTTTCCTCTTTTTCGACATCTGGGGGGAGATTAGGGTGGACTGGGGTTAAGGATATCTGTCATGTGAGTCTCCCGGGCACCCATCTCAGCATTTCTTCATCTTGACGGAAGACACAAACAGACCCTCAGCCCCAAGTTAATATCGGGTCTGGCCCTCGCCATATGCCAGTGGTTACATCTTTCCATTTCACCTGTCCTCTATTCTCATTTGTGGAGCGTAACCATGGTGTGCCGCGGGGGCTTTATCATTTGAGACAGCTAAAAATTTTATCACATAAATGGCGGATGCCAATAGAGAATGAGGCGAGCACTGCAGTGTTCAGCCACATCTCCTTTCTTTATTTTTTCTAAATAAACTTTAAGGGTGCGATTGGCACGCTCAACAATGGCTTGGCCTTGAGGGTTATGAGGAATGCCTGTTTTATGAGTTCTATTATAATCTTGACAAAATTTTTCGAAGCCTTGGCTGGTATAGGCCCATTGTTAGTTTTAATTTGCTTGGGGACTCCCATATATGCAAAGGCTTGTAAGCAATGGGCTTTAACATCTTTTAGCTTTTCCCCTGAATGGGCTGAAGCATGTATCATATGAGAACAGGTATCAATGGAAACATGAACAAACTGAAGCCTTCCAAAGGAGGAAATATGGGTGACATCTATTTGCCATGCATGGTTAGGTAACAATTCTCTAGGATTGATTCCAAGGGATGGAATATTGGGCACAAACTTCACAACTGGTGACAATTTGGGTGGCTTGATTTCTGGTTATCTTAGTATGTAATCTTAAGGAGGCTGCATTGAGATGGAACCTCTTATGGGTGCGCACTGCCTGTACATAAAGGTTTGTGGTCAGGGATACGTGCAGCACTTGAGTCAGTGCATCCGCCCATGCATTGCCCTCACGCAGGGGGCCAGGCAAGGAGGAATGTGCTCTTATATGCCCAACAAATAGGGGGTGAATGTGCTGCCAAATCTGTTGCTGTCATTGTAAAAGAAGTAAATAAACTGAGGAGGTGGGAGCTATGTAGGCTGCGGTTTCTAAGGGTAAAATGACATGAACTACATAGCAGCTGTCTGTATATAAATTCAAAGGCTCATTATGATAAATTTGAAGGGCAGAAAGAACAGCGGCTACCGCGGCAACTTGAGCTGATTTGTGGGGAATGGAGACGGTTCATTCTTTATGTCCGGAGACTATAGCAGCCTTACCTTTAGCTGAGCCATCAGTAAATATTACACGAGCTCCTGGAACAGGTTGTTGCCTAATTATTTTGGGAAAAACAATTGGATAATTTTTAAAAAATTATTTTTCTAAAATCTCAATTTTTTTAGTCAACCAAACTTCTTCATCTCCTTCTTCGCTATCGCTTTCTTCAGGAGAGGCATGCTAGGCGCAGTAGACGCCTCAGCGGAGCGTTGGACCTCTTTCTCTTGTGCCTCTTCAAAGGGCCTCACGTAACTGTTCTTTCACTTTAACGTTGGTAGTCAACAAGGTCTCTCGAACTAGGTGCCATAAGGAAAAGGTGGATATGGGGAAATTACTGGGGTCCTTTTTTAAACTTTCTTGTAAATCCTTTTTAACTTGATCCCAATCGGGAATATTAAGGCTACCGGAAACAATGAACCAAGGACTACTTAACTGAATCGCTTTTACAAAGTCTCTGTTTTTAGTTTTACAGTAGTGCCTTGTTGATGCACAATTCTTTCAATTCTGAAATGAACCTGTCCTGAGACAATGTAGATCCCATTTTCAAAACTTCAAAGGTTCAATGCATCCCACTTACCTCAAAATCAGCTGGCCAGCCTCCCGGGACGACCCTTTGTCCTCTATTGCTCCATCTCGGTGGGACCTCCAGATGCCAGCAATATCCGCATCCCATATACACCAAGCCGAGCCCAGCCGAGGGACTAGGGTTGGAAGGAAGACAGCACACACTGGGTCATTTGTGTAAGGACAATGCTGGTTTATTAAGAAAATGCTGCTGTTTTTATACTATCTTCTAGTGCTCTATCCTTGTTTACCCCCACTCTTGGGGACTTATCTATTTCTTCATATGGCTTTGCTCAGCTTTTCCCAGACACGCTATCAGGAAGCTCCAGACACACTATCAGGAAGCTGTGGTTAGGGGGGGACGGCCCAAGATATACATTCTCAATTCCTGAAGGTTTGTGCAAGTAGCTGAGCAAACAATCCTCGGATAAGTCAAGCATCCTTGTGACCAGCATGCAAGTGAGACGGTAGAATCTCCCTATGGTAAGGGTTAGGAGATGTCGGCAGCAGCAAATAACCAAAAAACAATTCTGCAATTCTCTTGATAAATGGAAGGTAGTATTCCCTGTGATGGCACATTAGCCATTAACTCCTGGAGTAAAGCTTGAACAAATAGACCACCGTAAAGTCCAGAGAGTTCAGATTACTAGAGGGTCAGAGATCAAACCTCATGAGGGAGAAAAGTGCTCTGGGGGAACAAAGCTAGGCCCTTAGCATTCCCACAAATGTACAAGTTGAGCCCAGACTCTTGGATTCCCAGGCTGTCATTCTCCTGGAATAGCAGAAAATACTGCAGCTCTTCCTCCAACATCTCTTCTCTTTCACCCTCTCACCCTGTGCCCACCCCTACCAGTGTGCACCTTCCAGTTGGAGATGGATGAGGGTGTGTACCACTCTCACGTGTAACCCACACTCAGCAATCCCACATATCTGGTACTGCACAAACATGAAGTTCACATGCAGCAATCATATCTCATACTTCTAACAACCCTTCCCCAGAAGACCTCACAGTACCTTTCAAATAGTGATTACTCACCTCTTCTTCAGAGTTTTCTTCTTGAAAGCTCAGAGTAGCAACGTAATTACATACCTTTATTCCCCCAAACAATTATTGTAGCTATAAAAACCAAGCCGTGATATTGATGTGGGAGAGGCAGAAGAGTTGTTTCTGTCCTATAATGTGCTCACAGCAGGAGTGGGGTCCCTGTCAGTTAAGTGTTCATGACGTTGTGAAGCTTCCCTGCATACCATAACAAGAATGAACCCGTTTCCAGTCCTGAAGTCTCCAGCCTCTTTGCAATACTCCCTCTTCTCTAAGCCATCCACATCCTTCTTAGCCCAACGACTCTTTCCTCACGCCACACTTTCTCCATAAAGTGTATTGCAAGGGATGAATTTGTTTATAAAAGTTGGCTTCTTTCAGAGGTGGGATTTTGCTTGAGATTCTTATATCCTATATCAGAACCTGGCTCCACTTCCAATTCCAGCTTCCTGTTAATGAGCACTGTGGGAATTAGCCAGTAATGGTTCAAATATGTGAGTCCCTTGCCACTCACATGGGAGATCTTGATTGAACTCTGAATTCTTGGCTTTAGCCTCATGCAGCTTTGGCTGTTATGGGTATTTGAGAAAGATAACGGCAGATGGGAGATATTTCTCTTTGTATGTGTATTTTTCTAATAACATTCTTTTAAAAAATATTAGATACTTTCAAAAGCAATGAAATATGCATGGCGCATTGGTCAACAGCAAACTCATGGAAATGTTCGGAGCGAGTCTAGAGGCTCTCTGGAGTGAAGTTTTAAGCTACTTTTTGCTTTGTTTGTGCTAATTCCATTTGGCCTCTGTCCTATCTGTACTGTTGAGTTTAAACAACACTATGGAAACATGGGTGCTACCATTCCCATGCAGTTTTCTCCTGAAGTCCCTGCCCTAACCTTAACATCCTGATCAATGGCTCAACCCAGTCTGAGAGGCACTTCCAGGCCATTTCTAGATAGTCCCCGAGAGATGAACTGTACTCCGTTCTAGGGTAGATTGTAATGATTTGATGCCCCTGAGGTCATGAGCACCTATCACCCTTCATTCAGAGCTTCATAGCTCAAGAAGACATATGTCTTTTGTTGCCTTGCACAGTGAGCAGAATAGTTCATGTAAATGGATTTGACTTCTCCAGCTATGATCTGTAAGATTAAAAGTTTCACTTGTATTTCACAGAAAGCCATGATTTAACAGCACTTTTACCCTGCGTGAGATATCATGTTAAAACTTTTTATGGGAGGGGAACAAGATTTTTAATTTTTTTTTGAATTTCATTTTTCATATTGCTGACATAGTTAAGAGGAATGCATGCCCATATGGGCTTCCAATTAGGGTGGGGAGGGTTGAGTTACGGAGGAAAATGAGTGGGACAAATGTATCCATTTTTTTTTATAAACACAGAGACCCATTTAAAGTTTCCACACAGGGACAAAAAGAGAAGGGGGAGGGGACAGGATTCCAGGGGAAGTCCAAGCCCACAGACAGCGGCTGGCCTACACCAGGTAGAATCTGAACCCACAAACCAGGTGAGGCTGGGGCCTCACCCAAATTTACTTGATGTCTTGACACCCTAAAGTCTTGAGGTCTTGAAGTCCTAAAGTTCTAAAGTCCTGAAGTCCCTGTTCATGGCACCAGTTCTCGGGGTTTAGTTTGTAGCAAGCCCTGAGGTTACTGAGGTTGAGGCAGACAATGTCCTTCAGCCGTAAGAACCACCGGGGACAAGCTGGTGAGAAATGTCCCAAATGTTTCCATTTTTATTCCCCTATGTCCCCTATGTAGGAATGGAAGGGGACTGCTCCTAGCTGTCAAACTACAATAATGCCTGGGGATGGGGGACACTTATTTGATGATGCCTTAGAGACTTTGATGTGGGTAAGAGTGTTCTGAGAGTGTTACTTGAGGGGTTCTGATAGTTCTGAGACATTGTCAGCTTCGTAAAATCCAGGTTGAGAAAGTCTTTCCTTAGTCTATTAGCTGACAAAGACTGTTTTAGTACATCCACAGACCTAGGAAATGCTGCAAAGCTTGACCATGAGAGTGGCCCAACCTGCTCTGATTTCCATCCAATGACGAGGTACTCAACATCCTCTGCTGGCCTAGATTAGCTACCTGTGGCTGGGTTTTGAATTCTGCAATCAAACTCAGGAGTTCCCCAAGAAAGCTTGCCTGGGGTGACCTCATACTTGACTGTTGTGTGCAACAGCCAGTGCAGGGTCAGGTTCGGTCCATCACCTGCACCAGCCAATGCACATACCAGTAGATGCAACTGCCTTGTCTATTCCACCCCCAACCCATCATTCATGCAAAATGACAGGTGCTGCAGTCTAGCCTAACTCAGTCACAGGCCAGTGGGTATAGCAGCATACTTGAGGTGATTCCCAGCAACCCCCATCAGGCCTGCCCACAGCCCTGATTTTTCCAAGTGCTAGCAATGTGCTGTGGCCTAGCCTAGACCATCCCACATTCCATCTGGCTCTTGTGCACACTTATGGGTGCTGTAGCTTAGTCCTGCCCCCAGATCTGGCTCCCATTTGGCCTAGAGGCTGGTGCAGTCTAGGTTGGCCTGTCCCACACCCATTCTGCTCTTGTGAATACAAGCAAATGCTGGGGCCTAGCCCAGCCTGGCCCACCCCCAGACCCAGCCCACCTGCATACCTATGGCCTATGGGTGCTATAGCCTTGCCCAGTCTGGCCTACCCACACTCCCAACTCTCATACTCAAAACTAGGAGCTGAAGCCAGGGGATCCCTATGGTTCCCATATCAGGCCCATTTCCATCCTCAAAAGATCAGGGAATGTGATTTTTGAGACCTTGCTCAGCCTTGACTTTAGGTTCCTTGCATGTCCCTCCTCCCATTTGAATATGTGTCAGGTCTCACTGTATTACTTTCATCCACTCCGCTAACAGTTACTGAGCTACTCAAGTGAACCATGCTTTGTGCTGGTGATATAGCAAAGAACAAAACAAGCAAAGGGCCTGCCATCTTGGAGTTATACTCTGGAGGGCAAATGGTCTCAGGCGAATAGGTGCATCATTACAGAGTCATGATATATGCTCCCTGTAAGCACAGGACGCCAGGAAGGAGCCTAACAGGCAGAGCTAATGAAGGGCACTTGTGCAATAGCATTTTTCAGACCATCTGTCCTCAACAGTAGACCCTAGGGGTGTGTGCCAGAGCCCAAATGTGCTTCTCACAGTTGCCTTCCAGGTCTGGGGAAGATTCCTTAGGAGAAAAGCAGCTGTCATTCAGGATTTGCCTCAGAGGGAAACCTGGATTGGCATTGTTGTTTGCTGTACATTGTGAAGAGCTTAGAGAATTCTCAAAAAGTGGAGTCACCTGTGACAAACTCCGGGCACCATTCACCTGGGAACCTACACACAGAGCTTCAGGAGTTGCACACCTAGCCAGTCAGTGATAAATCTCCCATTTTCCTAAGTCAGAGTTCACATTCAGTGGAAGGATAAAGGAGTAACCGCGAGCTTTCTAGAGTGTTAATCACCATCCCTCTCTCATCCTCTGGAAATGGAGAATGACACAGATTTCAACTATTCTCAGAGACCCTTCTAAACCTGCACAATCCCTCATGAACTCCCGAACTTTCTGGCTTTGACTCAATTGTGGGCACTGGCCTGAATGGGAGACCTTAGTTCTCCCATTAAACTGTTCCATGGCAGAGAGAGAAGGAGGGAAGGAAACAAGGAAGAGGAGAGAAGGATGAGGAGATGGAAAAGGAGGCAAACAAGGAAATAAATAACATTTAATGGAATGTTTTGGATTAATGCAAAAACTCAGGATAAATACAACTTCAAAACCGTAAATGAAGAGAGGGTCAATATACTGCTTTCCTTTGGCTTCTGTTTCCACTGTGATTCAGCATAGCACTGATAGCTGTAGATCAAGAGTGGGTGTGCTGATCCTCCTTGTTTTTACTGTGATTTGGGAACCAATGGGCCACAGGTGCATAGTTGGCACTGGTTTGTGGAGCTGATGAGAGAATATCCTATGGACTATTCCAAATTCTACCTTCAGCACATCACCTGGTAGCTTGATGTCAAATATGGTGAGAATATTTATCAGAAAAACAGGCAACAGCTAAAAATCTAGACCTTTATGCTTATTGGAGAGATGGGATAGTAACA